GCCTTTTATTGTGGCCAGCCTAAGGCACACCTGTGCAATAATCATGCTGTCTAATCAGCATCTTGATATGCCACACCTATGATGCATTATAATCATAATGCATCAAAACTGCATTTGTTATTGTTGTTTTCGTTATTTTTGTTATGTATAAGCCTGAGGGATTAAATTCAACAAGAAAAGAGGAAAACAAAGGAGATTTAAGCCAGTTTTGCATGTGGATGAACTATTTTGCACGTAAAATAAAGAAATTAATAACCAATTCAAGAGATAACAATTTTGGGTTATCGTAATAAAAAATTATATATTTAAGGATTAAACTGTGGGTCATATTAGTAGGGTAAAAATCAAATTTCATCAACATCAAAATATTTACAGATAGATTAATTAAACCTGACGCTAATATAAGTTGTTGCGCTTGTTATTACGTTGTAGATCACATTATAACGTCAACATGGCAGATGAAGTCCGGATCGCATTCATACTTAAGAGATTTGGCTGAAGAGTACATACTCTTTTAGTGCTCGTTAAAGGGGTCATATGATGCTGCTAAAAATAACATTATTTTGTGTATTTGGTTCCCTTTAAGTAAGTACTTATTGAAATTAAGTACCTACTCATTGAGTATGCCATTTTGGCACTTTCAGTGTCGTAACTTTGCAGATATTGTTCATGCTGAAACAGCAATATTACACACTAACTAAAGTTAAAAAAGTGAAATCACAATCAACCACCACTTTAAGGTTGAACCACTGATGTCACATGGACTATTTTAACAATGTCCTTACCAGGGGCGTCGCTAGGCCCTTTTTAGGGGGGTTAATCTCAGTTTAGATCCATAATTTGTAAACAAATTCATGGTCGCATAATTCCCCTTTAAAATGGATGCAAGTTTGGGCTCCTCCCCATCTTTAGGGTGTATTCACACCAGGAAAGTCCGCTAGTTCACTTGCTTTGCGACCAAATACACTGTAGATTTTTTTTTGTTTGGTGCGGTTCGCTTTCACACTGCCCTTTTTGCAAGTGAACCAGAAACTGTAAACAAAACAACACGTGTGCTAAGGACATCCATTTTGGAAGCGGACCGAGACCACCTCTTCAGCTGGGTCTGGGTACGGTTTTTGGTCCGCACCCGAGTACGATTGCTGTATTCACACCTGCCCAAAAGATCCGCAACAAGGGAGGAAGCAAACTTGAGTTTGATTCAATCAAACCAAACAAAACAGGTGTGAATACACCCTTACGGTGCATTTCCACTACAGCGTCAAATCTGCATTCAGTGCCGCTGGCAATGCTACAACGCCACTGCTTTGGGGCGTGTCAAATTTAGGGCAGAGCATGCCTCTGAAAAACACCCTGTTTACGTTTCATCTTCTTCCTTTCACAGCGATTGGTTGTTGTCTGGCGTTTTTCGCTCGACATTTGCATAAAGTCGAGGAATACCCAATCTTTTTGACACTCTCAGCCGCTGTCAACGCTTTCTCCGTGCCACTTTCAATCCCATAATACACCGCGCTAGCGTTTAAGCTCAACTTCCATAGGAATTAATTGAAAACGCTCGCTCCGCTGCGCTCGCTATGTGCCAGTGGAAACGCACCGTTGTGGTTGACAGCGGCTGAGAGCGTCAAAAAGTTTGCACTGGCTACCAGTAGCTGCTCGCATTAAATTCAAGGCATTAATGTTTGCCTACAAAACCACCACTCGCGCTGCACCCATTTACCTAAATTCATTACTTCAGAGTTATGTGCCCTCTAGAAGCTTGCTTTCTGCAAGTTGTAAGGAATTTAACTCATTTTATATTTATTTTGTAAGGGAATTAATTATTATTATTTTAGCTCAGGTTTTGAGAGGAATCGAATCTGAAGATTCGATCACTTCAATGCAGAATTTACATCAGTTTTGTGAATATACTCTGAAAACAACAGTGTTGTTTGCATTATGTATTTGTGTTTGAATACACTGCTGATGAAGCATTAAAGTGCTTTTGTTTTGATTCGAGAAGCTTCCTTGTTGCCTGAGGGAGTCCCAAAGCTTCGGATTGGTTGCTGAGATGACGTCTGGATAACATCCTTTTGGGAGAGCCCTCGGTGGTGATTGGTTGGTTGCCGGGTTACGGAGGAGCCTCGAAGTTCTTCTGAGAGAGTCTGATCTCAGTCCTGACAACTCGACATAACAAAACTCAACTACCAACTCATGCTTTTTGCCTTTATTGTCAATGTCAACATGTATTTTTAAAATTATGATTTTATTCACACACATATCTGAACATGTTTACAGTTCATTTGGAGGGCGTTTACTTAAAGCAAGTTCGGTTTACACAACTCTGGTACCACAGACAATGAAATTGCTTTAGAGTTGCATAATACCTTTGATTAATATTAGCATTAAGAAATCAAGTTGGAGTTACAGCTGAAAATCTGGTACTCTTGACACGATGAAATCCCTTTAATACATTTGTGTTACAGTAATGACAAATATCTTGAATCAACAATATTTTGGTTTGGCAAGCAATAATTCATTGAGAAAAAGAGGACAATTATGCCAGTTGTCCACATTCTGATCATGTGGGACCAATGTACACATTGAAATTAAGTTACCGAAATCTCCTTCCACAAACAGGAGATGTGAGGCTTTTAATTTGTATGAATTGTCTGGTAAGGCATCTCTGTAGTGTGAATTCTCATGTGATGACTAAATCCTCTTTTACAGGTGAAACTCTTTCCACACTGAGAGCAGCTGAAAGGCTTTTCTGAAGAGTGTTACCAAATGATCCTTAAAGTGTCCTTTCTGTGTAAAACTTTTCCCACACTGAGAGCAGCTGAAAGGCTTTTAACCAGCATGACTTAAAGTGAGTCTCAAGGTATCCTTTACATGTGAAACTCTTTCCACACTATTCCAGCATGAATTAGCATGTGATTCTTAAGGTTTTCGCTACACATGAAAGTGTTCCCACACTGAGAGCAGCTGAAAGGCTCTTCCCCACTATGGATTCTCATGTGTTTCCTAAGGCTTCCTTTATATTTGAAAGACTTTCCACACTGAGAGCAGCTGAAAGACTTTTCTGAAGTGTGACTTACCAAATGATCCTTAAGGTGTCCTCTCTGTGTAAAACTCTTTCCACACTGAGAGCAGGTAAAAGGCTCTTCCCCACTATGGATTCTCATGTGAGTCATAAGGCTTCCTTTATGTTTGAAAGACTTTCCACACTGAGAGCAGACGAAAGGCTTTACTGAAGAGTGAGTTAGTAGATGATCCTTAAGTTGCCTTTTATGTGTAAAACTCTTTTCACACTGAAAGCAGGTAAAAGACTTTATTCCAGCATGAATTAACATGTGATTCTTAAGGTTTTCATTACACGTGAAACTCTTTCCACACTGAAAACAGCTGAAAGGCTTTTCCCCACTATGGATTCTCATGTGATTCATAAGGCTTCCTTTATGTTTGAAACTCTTTCCACACTGAGAGCAGCTGAAAGGCTTTTCCCCACTATGGATTCTCATGTGATTCATAAGGCTTCCTTTATGTTTGAAACTCTTTCCACACTGAGAGCAGCTGAAAGGCTCTTCCCCACTATGGATTCTCATGTGTTTCATAAGGCTTCCTTTATGTTTGAAAGACTTTCCACACTGAGAGCAGCTGAAAGACTTTTCTGAAGTATGACTAACCAAATGATCCTTAAGGTGTGCTTTCTGTGTAAAACTCTTTCCACACTGAGAGCAGCTGAAAGGCTTTTCCCCACTATGGATTCTCATGTGATTCTTAAGGATTCCTTTATGTTTGAAACTCTTTCCACACTGAGAGCAGCTGAAAGGCTTTTCCCCACTATGGATTCTCATGTGTTTCATAAGGCTTCCTTTATGTTTGTAAGTGTTTCCACACTGAGAGCAGATGAAAGGACTTTTGACTTCTGTTATTTGAATGCTGCAACTCACAGATTTTTCTTCATTGACATTATGATCTTTTTGATCCCGATGTTTCTCCACTTCATTCAGATCTTGTCTTTCCTCTTTCACCTTCATCAGGCCTAAAATGAAAACATTAGAGTGATGAAAATCAATTGGAACAAAACTGTCCCTCTTCGCACAGATCCATGAAAATGACAAAAAACGCTGTATTATCCTGACAAGCCAGTAGTTGGCGATGTCACTTTGTAAAGCACGTGTCAAACTCTGTTTCTTTGAGGGCTGCAGTCCTGCTCCAACACACATACCATGGCTGTATCTGAAATCGCCCAGTAGGTGGCTCTCTAGTAAATTACTCCATTGCCCACTATACACTCATTCACTATTCCCTAGTATACCACACTGTCACAAGCAGTAGCGTTTTTTGGCACGGGCGAACCACTGTATAGAGCAATACTCTAATGGAATTAGTGGGCTAAAGTCAGTCACACCTCGACTTTCTTCCAAATAACGCACATTTCATTCATAATATTATAAATACAGGCCTATAGTTCCTGCACATTTTTGTTTTTCTGAATTGTGTGAAATGGCTAATAAAAATAGGTAATACAAAACGATTATGTGGTCACCAAGGTGAATTGGTTTAGTCTTGACTTCTGGTCGTGAGTGACAGTGTTGGGGGGATGGGAAATCTGTTGATTGTCGAGTGCCAAATAAACACAGAGATGGACAGGAAAAGGTCAAAGCCATCAGGTGCCCAATTTAGAAAAAAAAGAAAAGAAGAAGAGGAGAAACGAGCAAAAGATAAAGGTATGCAACTATGTTCTCTCTGTATGATTATTACGGTATCCATGTCATGAATGAAGGGCTAATGTTAATTGGTGGGTATAACTCTTAAGTTTGTTAGCCTTTTTGCTATGATGCTTGCTATGCTTATACAACAATAATTCGGTTTTAACTCAACAAACACGAGATCTAATTTCACCATAATATTGTGCTTTGCAACAAAACTGTTACAAGTTCAGTTATTATTTATTTCCATCAGTTGGGGTAACGTTAGGCCCTGTAATTAGCCAACGGAATTTTCAAATCTGTGTAATTATAATTTAAATCGGACTACTTTTCAAATTGTATTTCATAAACCAACATCTCAGACGTTGTCAAAACGTTATGGGGTTTCAAATCAAAAAATGACTTTCTGTTACAGAACAGGGAATTGATTTCATACATGTCCACTGTAGAGGATACCAGGACTTAAATCATGCTTATCAGGCATTTTGGGAGACACAACAAGTGAATATGGAAATAAATTATACATCAATATTCCTATGAAATATTAGATATTATTATTAAAATGTTGCCAATTATTACTCCAATTATTACACTTCTTTTTTCATTAAATGTTGCTCCAAGAACACATTAATATGCAAATTAGATACAGTGTATAATGTATATTTAAGATAATATTTAGATAACTTATACTGTCATATTTTGTGCAGAATTGTGTTCTTGTCTTTTGGCAATGTTGGAGGTGGAGGTTGTGCACCTTAAAAAGTGTGTGTCCTGTTGTAATTGCAATAGTTAAATAACTGGATTCTCTTAAGTGTGTTTTTCAAATGTTCTAATGAAGGATTTGTGCAATTGAGAAATATAATTTTCTCTTTCACTTATGTTGTTAGAATAAAATATAACTGTTTGTGCAGAATTTTGTGTGGGGGGGGGGCTCGAAGCGGGTCTCGCCCAGGGTGTAATTCAATGTAGAACCGCCATTGGTGACAAGGGGTGTGACGAGATCTCGTGAGATCCGATGCGTCTCGCGAGAACGTGACGATATCCTCGCACAGACCTTTCAGATATATTTGCATTACACTGGCTCGTTCACAAGTGGTGGGATGTAAGATATTTTATGTTCACGTGTACTGTATGCATACAGATAATTACACATACTTCATACAAACAGCTTTAACAGTGAAGTGTCATGTTTAGTGCATAAAAAAACAACAAAAATTTGAAATGGTTATCATTACACCTAACCATTCAGAGTAACCGTGGCTGTATAGAGAATAACAAAGCAGTCCATATGATTCATGCATGCACAATATGTAAAGTCATCAGAACTCATACTATGCCTCAGATTATGGAAAAGACACAATTTATTTTCCAAAAATAGGAAAACTGATGCGACATGTTCAATGTAATACATGTTTATCAATGTCATCAGACCTGTTAAGAAGGAGAGCAAAATGTAGATGAGAAATAAAATTACAGAAATGAAAATTTTCAGCTGTAAAATAGGTTGGCTTTCAGTTGATGTATAAACCTCAATTTCTAAAAAATTACCCTTATAACTGGTTTTGTGGTCCAGGGTCATATATATATATATTAGGGGTGTGACGAGATCTCGTGGCACGATGTGTCTCGCGAGATCTGATTGGTCTCGCGAGAATGTGACGATATCCTCGCGCATACCTTTTAGATATATTTGCATTACACTGGCTCGTTCACAAGTGGTGGTATGTAAGATATTTTGTTCACATCAGGCAAGTGGCCTCATGATAAGCGGGAAAATTATGCAGTGTAGTCTTTATCTAGTCATAAAAACAGAATTCACAGTTTAACGCGGAATGTCATGGAATTTGTCAAATTTTGAATGAATTAATCAAAAGTAGGTCAATTCACTTAAATCAAATGGCGATATGGACTAGTATCTGTAAATATTAAGCCGCAAAAGTCGATTTAAATATGAATCCTGCATGTTCTGCCTGTCTCTGTTTATGAATGGGGCAGACGCGCAGTTTCATTTACTACACACACACTGAAGCACGCGTGACACTCGCGGAAATTACGCAGTGTAGTCTTTATCCAGTCATAAAAACAGAATTCACAGTTTAACGCTGAATGTCATGGAATTTGTCAAATTTTGAATGAATTAATCAAAAGTAGATCATTACACTTAAATCAAATCAAGATATGGACTAGTATCTGTAAATATTAAGCCGCAAAAGTCGGTTTAAATATGAATCCTGCCTGTTCTGCATGTCTCTGTTTATTAATGGCGCAGATGCGTGGTTTCATTTACTACACACATACTGAAGAGCGCGTGACACTTGCGGTGATTTTAGCGTCTGCCGTCTCACTAAATGAGGACGTAAACACATGAACAACATCTCCAGAACTGCTTTGAGAGTCACTTCATGAGCACTTTAGCATTTGATTTGAGTAAAACTAGTTTCATATCTCATACACAGAACTGTATGTATTCACGGCAATCCGTCAAAATAAAAGTCCGGTTTGATTTGAAGACATTGTGTCTATAACTATTTTTCAGTAGAATGTACATAGCCTACTACTACTACTACTACTAAAATGAAACAAACATTCATTTTTAAGGAATAATCACAAAACATTTCTTCCATGTTTTATTTTTTAATAGTAAATCCCCTTTGTTTGCCAAAAAATCTTGTTTGCTTAATTTTCAATAATTAAAAGATAAATGATAAATTAAATTAATGTTTTATGCCTTCATTTGATAACCAGAAAAAATGTAAATATACAACACCGAATTTCTGAGGGGAAAAAAAATTCATATGGCTACTTTAAGAAAAAAAATTATAAATTAAGTTGTTTTATGCATTCAAATAATTAGACATGCTAAAACACAGAATTTGATAACAATAAAAAATATA